CAAAAATAGACTTAACAACGTGATCCAATTTCGTTGGAACTTTATAGAAGCCAGCAAGATCTTCCTTTGCTCAGTTCATCTTGGTCAGATCATATTCTTAGGAATAAGCTGTAATTTTCATTACTATCAATCATGAAATCTCGATATTTGGTTCGTCGAAAAGATTGTTCCCTGAGGCAAGACCTGAAGCATTTTGGGTATCAGACTGACAACAATATTTTGTGATTTACCAACTCGACAAGTCTAGTTTTCTCCACCCTGGAAGAGTTGATGCGGACATCCATTTATTATTTTATGTTTCCATTTGGACTATTATTTATGTTCTATTATTGGGCTTGTATAATAGGTTTGGCCCAAACCTTTTGTCTTTAGGATTTTTGTTTAGCTATTTATATTTGATTTGTTATTTAGTTGGGACAGTTGATGATGATGATGAATTGAGATTGGTTTTGGCGTCTCCTACCCCTCCTTTCTCCCTTTCCCTTGAATTTTAGCTTCTTCTTCAATTTCTTCCCACATTCTCTCTGATTTTTACCTCTTTTCTTGCAACCCTATTCTTTATCTTGCATTAATAATTGTCTCAAATAACTTATTTTGAAAGAAAACCCAAGTACTTGCTACATTCATTGCTTTGCTCATCAACTTCAACTAGCTCTTGTAGTTGTGGTATAGAAACATTTGAAGATTAAAACTTTATTTACTTTGGTACACAAATTTATGAATGTTGTAAGAGGATCGGCTAACGGGAAGACCTTATTCAAGAGAAAGAAAGATTGAAAATTCTTGAATCACTCAGTATTAGTGAAATATCAATCAGACGGGATCTCAATCAAGTAACTACTCTTAAGCGTTCTGGTGATACATGTTGAGGCTCTCACTACAGTTGTTTAAATAATTTGATTGTCATTTTTTCAACCACAATTGATGTTGTCGAGATGATTGCTATTGATGCTACAAGTTTCAGAACAAGAGATGAAGCATGTATTTTATTGGAGTTGATGTTAAAATTTGAATTTGCATTTAATCTATAGCTCATGAAAAAGATCTTAGAAATTTCAAATGAATTGTTGAAAGCATTACAAAAAAGGATCAAGATATTGTCAATGCTACGAGATTAGTGCAATTATGTAAAGCACAGCTCCAAACCACGATGGATGATATTCTTTTTTTTTTTTTTAATGTTTGTTCATTCTCTGAAGTTCACAAGATCAATATTCCCAATATGAATGATATGTTCATAACTTTAGGTATTTCATGGCGTGACACGGTAACAAATTTGCATCATTTTCGCGTGAAAATGTTTTATGCTATCATCGATATGCAACTTTAAGAGCTGAATAATCATTTTTGTGAGGTTAATAATGACTTACTCCTTGGTGTTGCGCATTTGTATCCAAATAATTCATTTGTTGCTTTTGACAAGCACAACGTGATTCGACTATATGAGTATTATCCAGTAGATTTTGACGCAGAAGATATCTCGAAACTTGTTGATAAACTAAATACATATATTCTTGATATGCAAACTTGTGAAGAGTTTGGAGGATTACAAAGCCTTATTGATCTTGCATAAAAGTTGGTTGCGAAAAATAAACATGAAGTGTACTCATTAGTTTACAAACTTGTGACATTAGCATTAGTTCTTCCCGTGGCTACTGCTACAATTGAAAGAGCATTTTCTGTGATGAACTATGTCAAAAATCGTCTGCGCAATCGAATCGGAGATCAATAGTTAAATGATAGTTGAATTGCATATATTAAGAATAATGTATTTGGCAATATTGAAATTGATGTAATTATGCAATGTTATCAAAGTATGAGATCTCTTAAATAATAATTGTAATAAGATAACGCCACTTCTAGGAGTATGCCTTTGACCTTTCTCAACAATTATGCATTCTTATACAAATTGACAGACATAACATCCTACTGTTAGAGGGCTATATTCTACATTTGCTTATTTAGTTTTTTTCTGAGAGGTAATACCTCATCATTTATTGTTTTCTTCACGTTTGCTACTTTTTTGAAGGTCAAGCCTTACTCTCATGTTTTCTTGTGAGTTCCATATATATTATGATTGGGGAATTTCAACCCCATCATCCTTTTCTAGTGGAGCTTAAAAACTCACCAAGAATGAGTTGATGATTTGTCTATAAAAAAATGTAAATTCTTTTTGTTTCCAATTAACTGAAGCATTGATGGTTATTATTAAATAGTTTTTCTAAGAAGTTATGTGAACTATCCAAGATGACATCAACGTTTCTATTGTTGTAGCTCCCCAAAATTGGAAGATCATTTTGAGAGCTTCAAACATATTCGAGGATTCAATGTGACTATTGTCACTTCGGCCAACACAGAAGATGAGACTTTACCACCGTGGAGCGGCTTTTTGCTGAATATGAAGACTATATAGACTTTCAAGAGGACAAACGCTGAACACAATATCTTTCATGGTTCTGCCAAAATGACAGTGAATCCATATGAGCTCTTTGCACTTTGATTATAGCAATTTTATAGGAAACAGAGATACATGAGGTGATAACAAAACATACCTTCCTTTCAATGTCATGGTGTGCATTGCCTACTTAAATGAAAAGAATTTCAAACCTTTTACACAAAAAAAGGAAAAAAGGAAAATAGAATAAGACTAAAGAGAAATCATTGTTTGTTTTTATTAAAGTCCCGAGACTTGGAAAGCCAAGTGTTGAGATCCATGAAAAAGTTGATTGATTGTCAGTTGTACCGCAAAATTTCTTCCTTGTAACAACTAGGGGTATGCAACTTTATATTACATGACATTATAAAAATGTTAAATTATAAATATAAGCATATATATTAATTTGAAGGTGACACAATGTGATATGGTGATAAAATTTGAAATTAAATTGAAATGTAGTGACTTGGTTGAGATAAATTAAGATTTAGTGACTCAATTAACATTTTTCTGAAAGTTTAGTGACTGCAAATGAAATTCATCTAGAAAAAGAGTGGGTGAGGTCCATCGATTTATTGGAAAAACAAAGAAAAAAAAGGAAAAGAAAGGGAAATAAAAGAAAAAATTTCGAGGTTGTTTGAGCCCCATTTTTTTTTAGAAAAATGCATTTTGAAATAGCGTTATGATGGAGAATGTGGTTAAAAAATAAGAAAAACTTTTAGATTTTCTTGTCATATTATTTTATTAAAAAATTTGTTGTTAAAATGATGTAAAATCGCTGTTGAAAAAGGGAAAATTACATAAATCCAGGTACTTAAACTTTCAAATTCAAAGTTCAAGGTTAAAGTTTATTTGTGCAAAAATCAGGTGTATATATTGGTAATCCACCCAATCAATTAAAAACCCTAATAATTTTCCGAATTGAATCACGTCTCTTCCTTTCTCACTCTACAATCTCTCCCCTCTCTGTAAAAAATCGCCATGGAGATTACTCATCGACAGTGTTCACGACGTCATAGCTACAGTATGGACGTCGCTGCAAGGGGCGAAGATGGTGATCTCTGCCCAGAAACAAAGATGTGCCATCTAGTGAGTTGCGGCGGTGAGGCAAAGCAAATCCACCCACTCCGACGAGGTGCTGTAATGAAGAGGCAAAGCAGTCTAGCAGATCCACCCCCTCCGTCAGACGCCAACTCTGTTGAGGTGCTACTGTAATGAACAGGCGAAGTAGAAGTAGCGTTGTGGTAGTTTTGGATGGTGTTATTTTGTGGCAGTGGTGATGGTGTTTGTGTGGTGGCGATTTTGTGGAGGTGGACCTGACGGTTGTGTGGTGGGTTTGAATGGGTTTTTGTATGGTGGTGGTAATTGTGTTTACATGGTGGTTGTCTTGTAGTGGTGGTGGTGGTGGTTGTTGGTGGGACAGCGTGGTGGTGGAGCAGTGGAGGCGACAGTAATGTTGGTGGCGATGGTTGTAGGTGGGATGGCTGGGGTAGGGATGTTTGTTGGTGTTTGTGGTGGTTTGGTGCAAGCGATGGTGGTGGTCGTCATTTTTTTGTTGGTGATGATGTGTTGGTGTTGGTGGCGGCAGCGACGATAACACGGTGAGGGTTGGTGGCAAGCGACAATTGTGTGTTGATGATCTGTGACCTTGGTAGTGGATCGAGGGTGGTGCCAGGTGAGGGTGGATTGAGTGTTTGATGTCTGTGACCAATTGGTCCTTGTGACCGTAAACTATGACCCTAAGAAAGTTTTATGTGACTTGTAACCTATAATTTTTTGGATTTGTGACCAATGACATAAGCTGTGACTTATATTCGTGACTTCGAAATAATCTGTAACCATTTAATTTGATGATATGTGATCAGTAAATAAATCTACGATCATTAAACGTATAACTGTAACTTTATTATCATTATTTAATAAGTATTTTTAATTAATTAAATATATACCTTGAGTTTTGAAATTTTAAACTATGTACCCAATTTGTGAATTGATATAAACAATACACCTAAATTACGATTTTTTCCCGCATTCCCACAAAAAAAAAAAGGGCTCAAACAAGGGCCCATATTTGGGAGAAGAAAGAGCACCGAGAAAAAATGGTTCCCTTTCTTGCCTCCAAACTGCATGCAATCTTGAACCAGAAATTTGTAATTACAGAGTTAAATCCCAATTAATTCATCCGAAGTTAGTTGATGATTATTTAGATTTCAGCTCAAGTGGAGGATGAACATCTCAAGGTTTTTTCAAGAAAACTATTATTTAAAGACAATTTTTTTTCTTTTTCTTTTTTCATAATAACCCAAAACTATCAACCCTAAATTAGGAATTTTTTATTTCTATAACACTTGGATTAATTCATATTTTGATAATAAATTTCGAAGCTGACATTTTATTTTATGTTCCTTTCAGTGTCCATACTGCCAAATTGAAGTTTTATATTTTTTTCAAATTTTAATGTTCGTTGACATCGTTTCCTTTGCCTCGTTAAATAGTGGATCAATCTGAAGAAAATATTTATTTTATTCTATGTTGATTTGAGAAATTCATTTGATTAGTGGTATAATCATTACTAATAAGTGTTGCAAAATTACAGTTTATATGATGAGATATTTTCACATGAATTGAAACTGTGTTGTTGGGTGTTTTTTAGAAGAACTAATGGCAAGGAAAAAAAGAAAGTGACTCGTGCACCCAATGGAAGAAGTGACTTCACTACCTGCTGTCCCAATTATGGGAATTGAATTTGGCAGTTTTCACCAAAATGGCCTACCGCCTACCTGATGGACAATTCTTTGATGTCCCAACACCTTTTTTTCCCCAATTCAGACACTTTTAAAGAGCTTTCCCTTTCATGCTATACAAGCATCAGATTACAGGGTACCAAATCTGTGGAAAATCTGTTCATCAATAGTTGAAACCTCTATAATTGATGGATTTTAGTTTTGTAGACTTGAGAGTAATTAGACTTTAAGACATCACCACACTAAATACACCCTCACCATTAACTCGTTGGACTATATTTAAATTCTTTGCTTTTAAGTTAGTTTTCATTAACTATGGCTTTTCCTTGGGCTTATTGTACTATTTTACTTGCTGTTTACCAATTTACTGATGCATTTTCCAGTAATGTGAGTTTTCTTCAGTTTCTTGATTTATGCTATAAAAGTTGCATTTTACTTTGAATTTATTTCTTTTTATTCTCCTATGCGGTTATGGGTGGCATAGTGGAGGAAACTCGAAGTAATTCATCCTTAAATCGAAATTGATTGACAAATTGTTTGGTTATATACAGGTTTACATTGTTTATATGGGAGATAAACCTCATGATGTGCCCGAGCTTGTTAAAGATTCCCACCATGAGCTCCTCTCTCACATTCTTGGAGGGTATGAGCCTAATCATGCTGGCTTCTGTCTATTTGTTTCGTGTCTGTATGGTCTCTACTAATTGCTTTGACACAAGCAAATAGCTGCTGAATGAACTTTCAAATTAATTTAATCTTAATCGATCGCATTTTCTCAATCCTAATTGCAATAAAAGTAATTATGTGTGATTCTTGTCGGTAGCAAAAAGACCGCCATGGAATCAATTTTGTACAGCTACACACATGGATTCTCAGGATTTGCTGCTGTCTTAACTCCGTTTCAAGCCAGAATTGTTGCAGGTTACTCAATAGATGATCTACATTAGCTTGTCTGAGATGCTGTGACTTCACTTTACTGTTGGTACAATTTTTTTACACTGATGAAATTCAGGATTGCCCGGAGTTGTTCGTGTAGTTCCTAATCGAATTCTCAATTTGCACACAACAAGAAGTTGGGATTTTCTGCAAGTCACTTCCCACTTGCACAATGGAATTCTCTTGAGAGGTCAATATGGTGCTGGGTCTATTGTTGGCATCCTAGATACTGGTAAGAGTGGAAATGCTCCCAAGCTGATGGAAGTCAGAAATTGGTCTAATCTTTCATCCATTTTTTGTTTAGCACAGGGATATGGCCTGAATCTGAAAGCTTCAAAGACGATGAAATGAAAGCTGTTACTTCTCATTGGAAGGGGATATGCCAGGAAGGTGAGCAATTCAATCGATCAAACTGTAACAGGTAAAATGACGTCAGAGTTTGATTTCCGCCCAGTTACTTCTAAACTTTGTGTTGAATAGTCAAATGTGGTGCTTTATCTCCTATATCTCTGTCCATCTGCAATTTTCAGAACTTAAGTATGGCTGTTGGATCTTTGTATGTCTCCAAATGCTTGGTTCGTCAAACGTTTAGATACGTGTTTTGAACAAAATATTTACAATTTTGTTATCTTCTTCATTTCATTGGTAAAATGAAATATAATCAATAGGTTCAAACAAGTATTCAGGTATTTTTTAAAATTTTTATAGAACAAATCAGCCAACCTCGTTGCACTTACTAAGTTTGTCATTGTTAAATATCAAATGTGTCCAAGAACCTAGTCCAAATGTCAAACGTCTGACAGGTACTTGTCCATGTAGAAGGTAAGATGATATGGCTGTCCATCATTTCCTTTTATATCTGCTTCGGCATTCATTCTATGTTATATATTGGGGCTTCTGGTCGTATTTGACATCTTTTATCCTAGGGTCGTAAGCTGTTCTTTCATGTGTTCTGACCAGGCAGCCACAATAAGGAAGATCCTGAAAATTCCAGATCAGTTTAATAGCATTCTGAATCCACTACAGGAGAGTATAGGTGATATCATAAGAAAATAATGAAAGAAACTGACTCGAATTGCCAGACAATAGTGGTTTGGAGGCACTCAAACATGTTGAAAATTTTTAAAATAAGTTAATTCTTGTTTTTAGACATTAGTTTTTATAGTTGTTAGCTTATTAGTTATTCGTATGGTAAAATATAATTAACCCAATTCAGCTTATATGGGACAGGAAAATAATTGGCGCTCGCTGGTATGTCAAAGGATATGAGGCTGAATTCGGAAAGCTGAGCACATCTGATGGCTCTGAGTTTCTGTCTCCCAGAGATGCAACTGGCCATGGGACACACACATCATCTACAGTGGCCGGTGCTTGGGTAGGAAATGCAAATGTTTTGGGATTAGGACAAGGACTGGCCAGAGGAGGTGTTCCTTCAGCTTGGTTAGCTGTGTATAAAGTTTGTTGGGCTACTGGTGGCTGCAGTTCAGCTGATATTCTTGCTGCATTTGATGATGCAATATTGGATGGAGTGGATGTGATTTCAATGTCTCTAGGTTCATTGCCTCCTCTTTCAACTTATGTTGATGATACAGTGTCTATCGGTTCTTTCCACGCTATGGCTAATGGAATTTCTGTCGTCTGCTCTGGTGGAAATAATGGTCCCTATCCCGAAACAGTTGTAAATACAGCTCCATGGGTGATCACTGTTGCAGCAAGCACCATTGATAGAGCTTTTCCTATTAAAATAACCTTGGGGAACAATCAAACTTTTGTGGTACTTGCATACATTACACATCCATGTATCCATTTGCACTTGCAATGAGTTGTATGCATGGCTGGCAGACATTTATTGGAGCCTATCCAACCAAAAGTTCCCTTTGACTAGAGAGTTTACCCAAAAATACGGAATCTAAATTTGGGATGCCTTCTGTATCTATAAATCCAAGCGGGCGGTTGTTTTTCGTTTCATAACTGCCTAGTCTTTAACAGAATTAAAAAAGATCTACTTTTCCATACCCATGCGAGCGAGAATTAGAGCTCATTTTGGGTCACAATATGGTTGTTATGGCATTAGGCCTTTGTTTTTAATGTTAACATGCTGATTTTTTTCACTTTTCACAGGGTCAAGCATTGTATATGGATAAGGATCTTGACAAGTTCTATCCCATTGTGTATGGAGAAGACATCATGTCTACTGATGCATATGAAGATGATGCAAGGTGAAATACCTTCCGCTAGAATTTTGTCTACACAGAATATTGTATGAACCATGTATTCCTTTAACAGAAGTTGTGTTGCTGATTCCCTAAATGCCACTTTAGCGAGGGGGAAGGTTCTTCTTTGTTTTGAATCTCGAATTCAAAAGTATCCTGTCAATGCTGCAAGAACTGTGAAAAATGTTCAGGGAATTGGACTTGTCTTCGCAAAGTTTCAAACTAAAGAAGTTAGTTTGTGTTTGGATGTCCCCTGTGCTCAAGTCGACTTTACAATAGGAACATCTCTGCTAACATACATAGGGTCAACCAGGTAGCCACCATTTTTTCCATGCTTATTTTTTTTTAAATATTTCTGCGTACATGATGACTGTCGAATGAACTGGAGACTAGTTACGTTATTTTGCATAGTGTTCTTACGCAGCTTCTGCCTGCAAACTTCTTTCTATTGAATTTAGACAGAATTATGCAACAGCCGAAATGAGTATATTGATCATATTGGATCTGCTTATTAGTACCATACTTCTCATTACAAAATACAACTTAAAAGGAAAAGCAAAATCTATATTGCAGCAATCCTATTGTAAAGTTTAACCTTCCAAGGACAATTGTGGGGCAGCAGGTCTCCCCACATGTTGCACTATTTTCTTCTCGAGGACCAAGTTCCCTCTCTCCTACCGTGCTGAAGGTAATGGGATACCAATGCTGATTTTCTGTAGTAAACTTCCACCACATGCTCTTTGAATAAATATGTATAATTATATTCTGCAGCCCGATATTGCTGCTTCAGGGGTTGATATTCTAGCCTCCTGGTCGACAGCTGCAGCAGCCCAGCCATCTGGTGCCATTGAGAATCATCTTCATCCATTCAAATTCAAGTTTGCCTCCGGTACTTCCATGGCGTGTCCCCACATATCTGCCATTGTCTCTCTTCTGAAATCCATCCACCCATCATGGAGTCCTGCTGCAATAAAGTCTGCCCTGGTCACTACAGGTAAAATGGTACTTTGTTTATGAGTTGGCTTAGAGCATGTTTGCCTAAGCTTAAAAAGTTAACCAAAAAGTAAATAAATTATTTTTTTCTAACTTCTCTTTGCGTATTACGAAACACAGTAGACAAGGTAGTGATGAATGCTAACCCCCGCCCACCAAGATACGCGGGGGGGAGGGGGAATCCATATTTGGAAACAAAAAGTTACTTAGTTGTAACTTCAACATTTTTATGCTTGGCGAAATAGAACTAGTTTTTCAAGCAACTCAATGGCTGTCCCTTTGTGTCCTCTGTGTACAGCCTCTTTAACAGATGAATATGGTCAGGCAGCTGTTGCAGAAGGAGCTCCACACAAGCAGGCCGACCCATTTGACTATGGTGGTGGCCATGTCAATCCTAACAAAGCTATTGATCCTGGTCTCATATATGACCTGGATGTCAAAGATCATGCTCGTTTTTTATGTGCACTGGGCTATAATGCAACATCCATCAGCTTGCTGACACGGACTAATGCTCCTTGTCGAGGAACTGCCAATTTCCTAGCCAACTTTAATTTGCCTTCTATCACCATTCCTCAGTTGAAGAACTGCACGACTGTTTCAAGAATTGTGACAAATGTTGGTCCTGATCTGTCGATTTATACTGCTACAATTCAAGCTCCCCCGGGAACAGATGTGATGGTGGAACCCCCAATTCTGGCATTCAATTCTGATTTGAAGAAACTAAAGTTCAAGGTAACATTCTGCTCCATGCTAAGAGTACAAGGAACATACTCGTTTGGGAATTTGTTATGGGAGGATGGATTGCACGTCGTAAGGATACCGTTGATTGTTCGATCCATTGTTCAAGAGTACTATCATTAAACATAATCAGAGTTCTTGTCTCGGACCAGAATCTGTGATTGTTTACTAATTTTGCTGAAATAAAAGTTGTTACATTTGAAAATGGTTATTAAAAAGTTTGATGAGCATATGAGGTTTTAACCCTATAAATGTGTCTGCTCTCCAGTGGCATAAGCTATTAAAATTACCCGTTTCCTAATTCTTAACAGCGTGTTAATTTAGTAGATTATTTATTGGTCAAATTTCAATATAAGAAGCATATTTTGGTTGCTTCTGAAATAAGTGATCTTTAAAGATAAGTGTAGCTCATTACATATTTGAATATAAAATTTACTTACAAATTAATAGTTTCTAACTTTTAAGCTTAGCCAAACATATTTCACAATGTTTAGAGTGTTTAGCGAGATAATAATCCAAATCGTTACTGAACTTTGCAAAAGGTTTTCATGTGATCACTAAACTTTAAAAATCACCTCATTCATCACTAAACTTTGCAAAATGTGACCCATTTGCAAAATTTAGTGATGAATGAGGTGATTTTTAAAGCTCAGTGATCTCGTGAAAATCCCTTACAAAGTTTAATGATGATTTGAATGATTTTTAAANTGATGAATGAGGTGATTTTTAAAGCTCAGTGATCTCGTGAAAATCCCTTACAAAGTTTAATGATGATTTGAATGATTTTTAAAATTCAGTGATCATTTGAAAACTTTTTGTAAAATTCAGTGATCATTTGGGTTATTATCTCGTGTTTAGTTGTAGTCTTGTTCTTAGACCTACGGTTAAAACTTGAAATCAAATCAAGTTTTGTAATTTTACTTAAGAGTTTGTTAAAAATTGATTTTTTGATCGTTATTTCACTATTCCAATCGTAAAGTTTGACTTCTTCTCTCATAGATGGTCTCCATTTTTTCCTAACGATTATAAAATCAATTCTTAAAACCACTTTTAAACAGGGCCTAAACAATATGTCGTTGCTAGTTGGATGACCCTTGAGTAAGTCAAACAGTCAATTATTTTTAACATAACAATTGTTCCAGTCGAATTCATGAATTTATCAAAGCACAACAGTAAACTATTCAGTCTAACAAATCAAACGTGTCGTTAAAGTTATGATTATCCTTTTACGTACAGGAGGCCGTTTATGAATAATTACGTTGCTTGAAAATGACGTTTATATGAAATCCGTGATTAAGCACTTCCATAATTGCATTACTAGTGAATGATTCGTCCTATCCTTGTGAAGAATACGATGTTAACATCAAGACAAAAATTATGGCCGCTTGGTTTGTTGAACAAACATATGGGAGTTAAACTCTCTGTCTAATTTTTAAAGCAATTACTTGATTGACTAAAAATAAACAATTCATATTTTAGCTCATCGATCAGATAGAGAGCAATTTGTAAGCACAACATTGCAAAATGTATCTTATGTTCAGATCAATCGATCGGCACGTCACACGATTTTCGTCTCTTGCATGCTCTCCATCTAGTAAATGCCTTCGGGTTTAAGGCAAATAATCTATCAGCTGGACAAAGAGCAATCGCAAGCACAAAGCTATAGCGTGCGTCTTATATCTAACGTCGTGTGGTTTCATCTCATGCATGGATTTTAACCTCATAATAATATTAATTGTTTAAGTAATTAGGAGAAAATTTTGTGCAGTTGGGAGTGGGGATGCAAAATTTCCTAGCAATTGACATTTATCCATTATTGTTAATCACATATTTTGGTAGTCAAATTGGGTTAGTTGTGGGTTTGGTGTAATCACTAATTAGGCATAACTATGGGTCAAAATATCTATGCATACACGTGTATATACGTATAGGTATGTATTTGCATATTGTATAGGATTAATTTCATTAATAACCACTTAAATATATATAAAATTTCAAAATGATCATTTTAGGTATTCGAGTGAAAATATGAGTTTGTGCTTGATGTACATAATTTGGGTATACAGAGATATCCACCCGTACATAAGACTTGTCCATTAAAGAAAGTAAAAGCAACTGTTTAAATAATGATTAATGCTTAGTGTACACAAAAATTTTTTACAAAAGAAATACAGATGTCTCACAATGGCGTGGACCCCGTATGAATAAATAATGTCAAAAAATTACCCACTCACCCCCCAAATGTGAGGTGTCGGTAGGGGTTCACGTAACCTCTACCTGTACACCAATCACGGCTGTTAAATAATTGTAAAAGATCACGTGAGCGGCACATTATGGCTCAAATGCAAATCCTATCTACACAATTGACTTTTGTGGATGCATTGGTTTCTATCCAGTCAGCATTTTGTCAACCTTCCTTCTAAATTTTTACTCTCAAGAGTCACGAGCTCGGCTCATATTCATTCCTATGGACAAGTTGAATTTGAGCTCAGCTTGTATCCACAAATTATGCTCATCTCAATTTTTTGATTGATGGATTGAGTCGGGTCAAGTCGAGATCCAACTTTTTTTTCTTAATAAATTAATAAAATAAAGCAAAAAAATGAACCGACTTTTTAAGAAAATAATATCTAACTTGATACACGACTCGACTAAAAAGAATGTCTATAAATAAAAACATAATGAGCGAAGCCTGTGAGCGACTCTGTTCGTTTGCCATCCTGATCTGATCACATGCTCAAGTCTACACATTCAGCCCCCGTTTGTTTTCCATTCTTTCCTCATTAAAATGAAAAATATAACCGTTATCCATTACATCAAGCCATCAAATTTGAATTTTTATATCTTGTGTGGAGTTTGTAACGACTATATTTGTCATTTTCATTTTTACAAAAATGATAAACAAACGGGACCTTAGTTATTCTTTAAGCCCCTGTTTGACCCTCATTACCTGAAAATGGAAATGGGAGGAATATTATTTTTTAGAAAAATGAGTGGTTGAAAAGGAAGGAAAAGTTTTTAATTTACATGTAATATTATTTTATGAAAGATTGTGTAATTAAAAATAATATAGAGAAAAATAAAATGTAATGTAATTTGGGGATCAAACATGGGCTAAAAATGAATTCGACTTATTTTATGATATTATAATAATTTAGCAAAATTATTACTACAGAAACTTTCGAATGAATGATACTACAGTATTTAACTGAATTATTTGCGCGTGAAGTGGGATTATCGTCAAACTATGATGACAACGCAATTCGGAACCACACACAGTGCAGCATGTGTTGTCTTTCACTACGCATTGTGCCATCGTCACGCGTTTCCACAGTGCGTGGGCAGACAGCCTACCGCAACTCACGTGTCAACCAAAAACGATAGTGCTTCGTGGGGTCCACGGTTTTATGAGCTTATCGTCAAAATTAAAAGGAGAGAGCGGGAAGACTAACCTATGAAATGACCAAATGGGGCGGCGCAATCAACGCGGTAAAGCCTGTCTAATTTCGTGATTACGCATGAAAAATTTGGGGCTTAAAAAAAAAAAAAAAAAAGAAGTCAAAAATTATGGGCGGTTTTTCGTTGTACTTTTCGTATTTGAATTATCGTAGCGCCATCGTTAAGACAATTCGCTTGACTTCTTGTAATTAGTGTTGATTTTGAATAATACTTATTTACTTTTTTGATATGGATTCATTTTTATTTAAATTAAAATCAATAATTAGTTTTAATTAAATATTTTTAAAAAATTCACAACTTTTATTAAAATCTACTAAAAATCTAATTTTATTATTTACCAAACGGAGTTTAGATTATTAACCTTTAAAGATAAACAAAACAAATTAATTCTAATTAATAAGACAATTAAAGAATGTCCATCTAAATTGATTTTAGATGGCATTACTGGAGGAGGGAAAAAAAGAGGAGAATATGAGTGAATTAAGTAAATTTGGTAAAATCATATATGACTTTATTAAAGTAATTGATTTATTACCTTGCAATAAGAAATAGAAATAAAAAATAATAATCAACTTATGAATACTCTTTTTTAACCCTAATGGAATTGAGAGGGTTCACCCGTTTGATAGTCATATTCTAGAATTTACAAATAAAGTTTCGATGTTTTAGCCCTTGTTTGGCTCCATTTTTTTCATATTTTTTATTTTCAATCACACAATCTTTTATAAAATAATATTACATGTAAATCGAAATTTTTTTCTTCTTTTTCAATCACATATTAAAAAAAAAAGAAAAACACTATTCCAAATATTAAGGCCTCTTTTGATTCCCATTTTCATTCAAAGAATGGAAATCAAACGAGGTTAAAATTTGGGGAATGTTTTAGCCCTTGTTTGGCTCCATTTTTTTCATATTTTTTATTTTCAATCACACAATCTTTTATAAAATAATATTACATGTAAATCGAAATTTTTTTCTTCTTTTTCAATCACATATTAAAAAAAAAAGAAAAACACTATTCCAAATATTAAGGCCTCTTTTGATTCCCATTTTCATTCAAAGAATGGAAATCAAACGAGGTTAAAATTTGGGGGGGAGGGAGGGGGGGGAAGAAGGTGTCAAACGGGGCTTAATGGTAAAGGGTCTTTGAAATTTTGTAAAGAATTAGAAGAATGCAAAAATAAATGAATCTGAAATTTAAGAACCGAGTGTAAATAAAACGGGATATACATGAAAATGGCCCAAATAGTAAATAACCTTTTCCAAAATGGCCTTTGACTTTTTTAGAAATTTGAAACTACCCAAAATATCCTTGGAAAAATTTAACAACCAACCCTTTATATAATAAAAAGTTTCTTTTTTAGTCCTTAAAAAATCTAACAAATAAAAAGTAAAAATTATTAATGAATAATTATAAAATGGAAAAGCCCAAATATAAGAGAGGACCATATAATATAAAAAAGGTTGTTAAAAATAAAAAAGAAATTAAATTTGAAAAAGAAATTGATAAGATAGGATATCAAGAACAATTATATGCATCACAAGAAATATTAAAATGTTTTAAAGAAAACTTATTAGAAAATTTCGCTAAAGGAATTGTAAGGTCAATAATCATAAAAGATATACAAGATATAATAGATAAATTGGAAAAAAGAAAGAAAAGTATCTCAAAATATGAAATACCTTTTGGAACAGACATAGATATGATAACAGATATTGATATTATAAATTCTCAAACATTATTAGACTTTGAAGAATTACTTAAAAATTTATGAGATTAAAATTTTGATATTTTGATTATTAGATTATTAGATTTTTGTTCGCTCATAGTAGCACCCATAG